AATGTCTCCAAATAAGTAGTTTTGGGTACACAATGAATGAGAAGACAATTAGGGGAAAAATTCTATTTAAAATAGCTGCAAATAAAATTGAATGCTTAGGAACTTAACTGAACTTAACTGAAGAGGTTAAGGTTCTCCATAATAAAAATTGTAACGAAATCAAAGATGTCACCAGAAGACAAGACCTCTCATTTTCTTTTGATTGGGTCAATATTGTGAAGACAATATACAAATTTAATGAATTATCTATCAAAAGTACCAATATCATTCTCCACAGAGAAAACTCAATCTTCAAATTTGCATGCAAGCACAAAAATCCTTGAATAGCCAACACAATCTTGAGAGAGAGGGAAAAATTAAAAACACACACACGCAGAAGGCTGGATGCATCACAATACCTGAATTTAAATTCTATCTAAAGCCATCATAACAAAATCATCTTGGTACTGGCACAAAAACAGATCTGAAGGCCAATCAAATATACTATAGAAGAACCAGAAATAAATCTATGTTCCTGCAGCCCACTGACTATTTTACAAAACAACTCAACATATACATTGGAGAAAAAATATGTTCTTTAATGAATTGTGCTGGGAGAACTGGTTATTTACATGTGAAAGACTGGAACTGGAACCTTAGTTCTCAACATGCACCACCAATAACAATTCAAAATGGAGCAATGACCTTAAAATCAGCCTTGAAAAAAATAGGAAAAAAAAACATTAGAAATTACTGGTATAAAAAAATCACTTCCTGAATATAACTCCAATAGCTCAGTAAATAGAAGTAAAAATTGACAAATGGGATTCTATCAAGCTAAAATACTTCTGCACAAAGGATATAGTCACGAGGCTAGAAATGCAACTTGAAAATGTGGGAGGAAATTTTCTTAACATCTATACATCTAACAAGGAGCTAAGAACATGAATATGCATATTCTCTCCCAAGAATCAACAACCCAATTAATAAACGGAAAAAGTATCTAAAGATGTACTTTTCAAAGTAGTCATATGTATGGTAAACAAATGAGTTAAGAGGTTCTCAACATCATTGGCCATAAAGGAAATGCATATTGAAACAACACTGAAGAAGTTGGGCACCCGTGACTCACATTGTAATCCAAGCCAGCCTGAGCAGAAAAGTCCATAAGACAATTTTCTTCAATTAACCAAGAAAATAAGTCAGAAGTAGAGCTGTTGCTCAGGTGAAAAGCTAAAGCAGGCTTTAGCAAAAAAGCTAAAGGAAAACAGCCAGGCCCTGAGTTCAAGCCCAGTACTGGCACCAAAACAATATCCTGATTTGCATTCATTCAGATAAATGCTTATGAGTGGTATTGCTGGGCCATAGGGTAGTTATAGTTTCAATTTTTTGATAAATGTCCATGCTGACTTCCATAGTGGTTGAACTAATATCCATTTCTACCAACAGTATATTCTCCCCAGCATTTAGTGTTGTTGCAATTCTTGATGACACCCATTCTGCATAAAGTGAAATGAAATCTCAATGCTTTTAATTTTTGTTGTAGAAGCAAATATCATAAAAAGACTGCTACATAATTCATTATAGGTCATATATTGTGGTAAGAATTGTCTGTACACTAGCTTTTCCAGTCCTTAGAACAGTTCTAGAATTCAGACACTGTTGCCATTCCTATTGAACAGATAGAGACTTTACAAAGCATAGACAGTGTGAAGTTTCACTAGTCTGAGATCCCACAATTCTCAGTGGCAGAGATTAGATTCACATATAGCTAACTTTCTGGTTCTGTCTGGACCCCTGCATCCTCCAACTATCATTGAGATGCTAATAAGTTTATCTGAAACATGAATTTTTAATGAGGTTAAAGTGTTATAGAAAGTATGAAGGACACACACACACTCTTCCTATGTGGAAGTAAATGCTGGTCAGAAGCTATTCCTTGTATTTCTTTGTAAGTACTTTCTAATCCAAGCTTCCACATACTGAGGCTTACTGTTATTTTGACTTGCCAGTGAGTCAAGTGCCAAGCACTGTGCACGAGTATCACTTATTTAAACAAGCTCTTAGCTTATTTGAAATTCATCCAGAACGTTGGAACAAACTAGGATCTTTCCAGTGCTATAAATGGTGGTAGAAATTAGATTTGGCAAATGGAATAGAAAAACAAATGGAAAAATATCTAGTACTGAGTAACTGCTAGGTAATCACATTGTCACTCAGAGGCCTTGCCTCTAGACCTTTTGTTTGTATTTTGTGAGATACGGCCTCAATAACACTGGCTCAGCCTAGCCTCAAACATTTAACACTCCTGGCTTTTGTTATCTGAATAATTGTGATTCCAGGTATGGACCACCAGGCTCAGTTGAAAGGTACTCTTAAGGTATATACTAAAGCAGTATCTAAATATCACAAAAGATATATGTACATATTAATGTTTTTATTTTGGATATAAACTATGACGTTATAGCTATCATAATAATACTTTTTGCTAAAAAGTACTGACTCCTCACTTGGACTCAAGAATTAACAAAATCAGGCTAAAAGCCTGACGGGCCTGTTTTCATTTTACATCTGTCCCCTGGTCTGAAAAGCCCACATCAGATTCCTGTTTAACTCTGTAGGTAAATGTGTTATTCCCCTTCATTCAATAGAAAACCCACTTCTGAGGGTCGCATAATCCTAAAATAATGCACTGATAAAATGTACAATAAATAAACGATGAGAAGTTTGTCATTTCGATATTTTATTCCACTGTTTTCCTTAGTTCACTTATGGAAACATTCCACATACAACTCCATGGAATTTTTAAGGAAGCATATTATAAAGAGAAACAATTCAGCATTTTTTGACTTTAACATGAAGTTGTTGCCTGATAGCTTCCATGATTTCTTCTTGTAACATTTAACATTAAGTTCATTTTGCAAAAGAGGGGTTTAAGTCTAAGAGAGGCTGAGAAAGGACTACTCCTAAGTCTCCAGTGTTAACACACTGTGGGTTTAAGATAATTCCTTCATTTGGCTCTCTCAAAAGCTGGTTCTCTTTATGTATTACATTTATCTGTCGTTGAACAAAATGTTTAGGGCTTCTAAATTCCTTAGCATACAATATCTTGGATTTTTATATCATATTACCTCTACTTAACAATTAGAAGGTAATATATGAGGAAAATGAAATGTATCAGATTCTGTATTCTGTTCCAAGTCATAAAGCCAATGAGACAGAGGAAAGAACTTAAATCTATATCCTTTTTCTTCCTCCTCTCCCATGTTGCCTTATAACATAGTTTTTCTATATAACAAAATTATAACCCCCTGCTTTTGCACATAATTTGACATCAGCCCAATCATTTCCCAATTTCAGTGTATCTCTTTCAGGATACTAAGGAAGGCCTCTGGTATGTGAGTCAGTCTAGTTTTTGCACATCAACCTTATAAATGTTATATTACTCAGACACTTACATGAGTACCTCATAAAATTTGCTTTGGAAACTGTAAGATGAAATTTTTTCTACTGTTAGTATGTGTTAAAACATTTGGTCTTTACACTACAAGCAATAGGACACTCTGACAAAAATTATGGATTAGGACATGTTGGCCCTTCCATTTTTCAAAGGATTAAGATAGGTGTTTGGAGGATAGCTGAAGGGACAAGATTCTTTAGTTATTGGCACAAGAAGTGAAGATATTGTCACCCATGTATACATAAGATGAGATGAAGGTAAAAGCAGAAAGTTTGAGAAAGTCTTCAGGCCTACTCAAGAACGGATTCCTTAGGAAAAACTAGCAATATTCCCATTCCTGTTTGATTTTGGAACACATAAGGGTATTTCCTAGGAAAAGAGCTATTATGTGGAATACAGAGCCGCTGAATTTATTCTCCAAGGAATTCAGTTCAAACTTGGTTTTATTTCTGCTGCTATGAATATTTGACCCAAAGGGGACCTCTTGCATTAGATGAATTAGCACTTAGGTTTAGAAAAATAAATAAAGGCTTTTCAAATTAGTTGTTAAAGATTTTATTTCAAATGCAAAGATTAGTTTATAAATTAACAACTGCTTTAAAAAGTCTATCCACTTTCTCTGAAGAACATGAGTTATGATGTCTTTACTTTTCCTCCTGATTTTTTTAGTTGGTTTGAAGTATCCCCATTTATAAGTAGAGACATTACCCACATCCTGAATGGTTTACTGGTATAATCATATAAAGCAGTAGAAAATTCCTGGTGTATCAGATATTCTTCTAGAACATTAACTACTATAATTAAATTCATATTATTTCTCAGGGGTTGAAACTTACATTAAAATATTTTAAAATGCATAATGCTTAAAATAAATAAATTTTAAGAATATAAGTTCTGTTTACCAAATGTTAAAAATATCATTGAATCTAACAGTTGTAATGAATATTGGCAGTACATTTTTTAAAGAACACAGACTCTGTCTTTAAAATGGAGAATCAAAATTGTCAGTTTTTGAAAAATAATAAAACAGACAAAAGAACAGTGAATGAATCTCACATAATTATAAAAGGGAACGATTTATTTATAGAAAAGACAATGAAAATAACATTTAATATAAACACTCAAAATTTAAAATTGTATTATCATTTACATCAAATTTGGAAGGAAAATAAACATAGCATTAATACACATCACTAAAACTCAATAAATGCAAAGTAAGAAAAGTTATCTTTGACAAAGCTAAACAAATAACTTGGATACTGGAGAAAATACAGTTCTCAAAGTACAATTCATTTTTGTTGTTGATTTTTTTCTTGTTATGAAAATGACACTAGCATCTATAACATTCCCCTGCTAGTCATAGTGCTAAAATCCCAAACACTATCCTCAGACACTTATTGAAACATCCCCATACACATATTATTACATGTCAGCATACATCTTACCTTCTCCACCCACAAAAGTTAAGATGAAAAAATTTACTCTCTTGAAATTGCTATTTTTTTCCTTAGATCATATTTTTTCCTTTTCTTTTTAACATAATGTTGAAAAAGCAATTTGAAGTAAAAAAAAACTGTGACAAAATAGCTGCTTTTTAAAAAATGTAACTGTAATATACAGGGAAGGAAAGTCCCCTTGAGAAAGTGCATAAAGAATTTAGGATTTCTAACTCCTAGGCTGAAAAATGGGAGTTCGACAGCCACATAGATTCCTTTACACTGATGATTAAATCCTTCATTTAAACCTTCATTATTAAAAAAAAACACATAAATCTGCAAGCTGTTTTTAAACAATTAATATCAGACTTCTTCTATCTTATTCCCAGTAAAGCAGGCACTGGTTTCTATTTATACAGAGTAATAGATGGGTATTTTGCTTTAAATAGAACTATATAAGCCTGTCTCTATTTGCCTGAGAGATAAACATTATGTTCATCTACAAATATAATGCCACGACAGAGAGAAATCGTGGTTGTAAAATAACACAGTCTTTAGCAATGTCGTTTTAAAGTGGCTGATAAAAGGAAGAGCTGCGTGAACAGTTTGAGAAAACAAACGAGCCCCTTTCCTAGAACAATCAAAGCAGGGTGCATAACGTCTCATTCGGCTGCAGGAGTCTGGAGAATCATAACTAGATGGTGGGCAATCCTGTGATTAATGGTAGGCAATTAAGAATGGCAAATCATTCCATTTGGGTTTAGAACAGAGTGGACCTGTCGGCACGGTTTCATAGGCAAAGCTTAGACACAGACACGCACAAAACTACACATACTGACTTTTGGAGTAGATGCTGGGTGACTTCTTTTCCATATGAAAACTCTTGGGCGTTGTGCGGTGCGATGGGACGGAGTACCTGTAGCTGCTCTTCTTCTCAGTGCAACAAAACACACAGCAGAACAGTGCCCCTCCGGCCAGCAAGACCAGCGCCGTGGTCCAGCCGATGTAGAGGGCTTCCCCCAGCTCCCGTTTCTGAGCAGCATCCACGATGGGGTTGTAGAAGTCTCTGATGATGGAGTTGGCCACCCAGCTCACGGGGATGAGCACCACGATGCCCGTGATGATGAACAGGATGCCGGCGGTCAGCAGGATGCGACTCTTCACCCCCTCGTCCTCCCCGGTGCACCGCGTGCACTTCATGCCCAGGATGGCTGTCATGAAAGCCAAGAAAGACAGCACGGAAGCCGCACACATCAGGCCCCGAGATGCCTGGAGGTCCGGAGTCAGAGCCAGCAGGGAATCGTAGACTTTGCACTGCATGCGGATGTTAGCGTGTCTCATGCAGTTCATCCACAGCCCTTCCCAGAGGTTTTCAAAGACCACGATGTTGCTTCCGATGAAGGCAGACACCCTCCACTGCGGCATGATGGTGACAGCGACCGTGCCCACCATGCCCACGCCCCCGAGCACCAGCCCAGCGATTTGCAAAGCATAGGAGGCCATTGTCCTCTGACTTTTTTTTCTTTTTTTACAATCAGACCAGAATCCTGAGCCAGTTAGGTAGGCTTGCTCCGAAGCAAGAGTCTCTGTGCCTCAGGAGAGAACGGTTTTCCTTGTACTAATCAACTGAGAACCCAGTGGTTTTTCTAGCGAGAACTGCTTTGAGATCCTGTGTTGGCTAGTGAGCTTGCTTCCACCCTCTGCCCCCCCCCCCCATACACACCTCATTGACTCCAACAGGTAAACTTGCAAATCAGGTATTACAACTTTCTTGGCCAATGAGAGGGGGATGGGGTAACTCAGGTGTGTCTAAACCAAAGAGAGATACTTGGAACGGCTGGATGTGCATAGAAACTCTCTTTGTACTTCTCCTTTTTCCAAGAGACAGCCTTGTGTTTACCTCTCAGCGTAATTAGGAATGTTTGCACAACCGTCAAGAAATGAGCCAACCTCGTGGAAGACAGCCCCCCTGTGCAGGGATTTCTGATGCTCCAAGTAAGAGCTGCCAGTGTCCAAAGGATAGAATAAAATATCTTCCGAACTACAATCCTCAAGGTCTGTTAAAATGCCAGCATGAAAGGAGAGTAAGGGATTGATGGATTGTTCAAAGTTGGGAAACCACATTCCTTGGGACACATGTGACACACGGGCTTGATTTAATTTGTCTCCCACTTCAAAGCCAGCTCAACTGGAGTGAGAACAGTGCCCAGCTTGTGTCAAAAGGGGCAACAACAATCAGGCTACCATAATTAAAGACGTGAAGTTGTTTTCCTCCTTGGCCCCAAATATGCACTCTTTTCTTGTAAGATAGGAAAATGACTTGTTGGTATTTTACTGAAAATCTTCACTGATGGGGAGAAAAAGATATCCTACCAAAAAAACAAAACAAACAAACAAACAAAAACTTGATTTTCAGATGCGGCAAGCACTACAACACTTTTTTAAAATGACTTAAAACTTTGTAATTTGCTTCTTTGGGGACTGTGTCCTTTCTTACTGCTTTGTCTGAATAGGCTGAAAGCTAGTGCTCTGCAGATGGTATAAGAGTTGAAAGTCTAGGCAAATACTTGGATCTCTAGAGAATATATATATATATATATATATATATATATGTATAGTTGTCAACTATAGTCATTGATTAAATTCAATCTACCTGCTAACCAAGTTTGTCTTCCCTACCTGTAATACAGTATCTTCAGGAAAATATAACCTTTCTAAATACAAAGCAATTTAATACATATTCTCCAAATAAAAATGGTAATGTCAGTCATGTTAAAATGAACATCTGTAGCTAAGGCAATTTCTCCTGGACACCATCTTGGGCTCTCTTGTCTATCTTTCTAAACTTCAATCCCGCCTTCAATTTCCTTTTATCTTTTCTATATGAAAATGGGATTTAAAAATTTACTGCCTCTCTTCTTTCCTGTACTACCTCGAATCCAAATTTGAAAGGATCTGCTCTTTTATTATACTTTCAAAGTTTAATGGTCCAAAAAGGGCTGGACAGTTTATGGAGATTACTGGAGGAAATAATCCACAAAACTGAGCATGGCATACAGGAAAATGGGAGATGCCAAATTAAATCATCTTCTTAAAAATTATAAAAAGGAAATGTGTAGTAATATAAGTTGTTAGCATTTATTATTTTGAAAATAATAAATAAATTAAATCTCATATGTTAAATAATTTCCCTATTTGTCCACCTACTTCTAAATATCTGGCTGTTCCATATCCTTGTGTAGAAAGTATTTTCTTTTCTTTTTTTTTTTGGTAAGATTTTTGTTTTTTTACTGTGAAAAATACCGTATAGAGGGGTTACAATTACATGGGCAAGGAAATGAGCACATTTCATATCAAGCATTGTTGCCTCCTCCTTTGTTTCCCTTCCCATCCTTTCCCATCTCCCCCTCCCCCCAAAGTTATAAAGTTTGTTTTTTCAACATAACATCTTGTACATCTCATTGTTGCAATGGGTCCACATGTATCCCTATTTAAACAATTTGTTTTTTTTCCTTCCCTTCCTCAAATTATACCAACATCAAATACAGTGAAAACAGGGGTTATACCATGGGGAGGGACATTAAGCAATAAGGAAATCATCTTATAAATATGTTAAAAACAATCACAAGAAAGAAAAAACATTTCAGTCCTTATCTTGGGGTTCATTTTGCCTAACATCAACTTATCTGACCATTTCTGCTTGTCTCAGACACATCCTAGTAACTGCAAATAAGGGAAACCATGGGACCTATGTCTCTTTGGGCCTGGCTTACTTCACTTAATAGAATTTTTTCCAAGTCTTTCCATTTCCTAACAAATGGGCAATGCCATTCTTTCTAATGGAGGCATAGAATTCCATTGTGTATCTATACCACATTTTCTTGATCCATTCATCTACTGAGGGGCATCTGGGTTGGTTCCATATCTTAGCTATGGTAAATAAGGTTGCAATAAACATAGTTGTGCTGGTGGCTTGACAAATGCCCAAAAGTGGAATTGCTGGGTCACAGGGGAGCTCTATGTGGAGTCTTTTGAGGAACCTCCATACTACTTCCAAAGTGTTTGAACAAGTTTACACTCCCACCAACAATGCAGTAAGGTTCCCTTCTGTCCACATCCCCTCCTAGAAAGTATTTTCTTTCATCAGGTTTTATCTGTCACAGATTTGTAGCAGATGATACAAATGTATCATCATTGGAAATCATTGGCAATTCAGAAAAGAAGTGTAGAATTTGAAACAGAGTTTTCATCTTTAATTGCCAATCTGGGAAAATGGAAATGGCTGACATAAGTGAAAAATTAGAACAGAATTGTATCATTGGTTGAAAGTGACAAATAAATGCATACATTCTTAGAATTTATTAGCCCATTCTTCTAAATTCTCATATGACATAGAGTTCTATCTAAATCTTGTTGCACAACCGCATTAAAATAGGGAAACAGAATGGAAACAGATGTTGAAGTACCTAAATGTAGCGGCCTTTGTTGGAACTGCATGGTGTACAATTTAACCCCTCTTCCCTTAGACATTGCAATTTCCTGGGAATTTAATTCATGCAAAAATATTTTCTTCTTGCAAAAATAGAAAGTACTTTGCTACTGAAATCTTCCTAGTGAAAAATTAGGATTGGTTAAAAAAAATAATCCTCTGTTTACATTAGAATAATTACAGTGTGAATTGTAGTACATCATCTAGGCGAAGTCAGAGAGCAATCCAATTAACCCCATAATATTTTGAAATAGCTATGTCCCAAATGTCAGAAAAATGAAAAAGAATAACCAAAAAGAGTAATACCAACTATGCTAGAGACAGAGATAAAAAATCACAGAAAATAACTCAAGTTCATTTTTTACCCATTTTCTGTCTGACTGAAAGGATAAACTTGGTTTCAAAATTCAGGTTCAGGGATGATTAGAGATTCAGATCAATAATATTTATTGTTGCAATTCTTTTATTTAGTACCACAGAGCTACACAGGCAGATTACTCTATAATTGCACTTCCATTACTATGAAGAACCAAAATGCTACCAAGAATACAAGGTAGAAATTAATGTTCATTATGTTCTCCTCTCCTCTCCCCCAGGGCCTTCCCTTTGGTCTACAAAACAAGAAGCTCCATTTAAGTTTAGTAATTAAATTTACTAAATTAAATTCAGCCCTGATAACTACATAACACATGCAAATGCTTCCCTTCATATCTGATAACATACAATGTCACTCTCAGACTGTCCTTGTTATTGTCAGGCTCAGACTTATTTTCATACACACTAACCTTTAACTTACTCCAACTCTTCAGTATGAGGCCCAAGAGTGGCTGCCAAAGTTATCATATTGTTTTCTCCCCCCCCCCTCTCTCTCTCTCTCAATTCTTGATTGGCAGTTTTCACATGCTATTTGTTTTTAATTATTGTTCACTGTTAATGAATTGTACTTGTCTGACCTGAGCAAGCATGTGAACAAATCAATAGACTTCTTTGTTTTTACTTCCTAAGATAACATTGTGTATTGCTTCATGCTTTTCTTGAAACACCACCCTGCTTGTTGTTGATGGGCAGCTGCTCTTTTTTTTTTTATTTTTTGGGTTTGGTCTTGAGGCCTGAATTCTGGGCCTGGGCACTGTCCCTCAGCTCTTCAGCTCAAGGCTAGCGCTCTACCACTTGAGTCACAGTGCCACTTCGGCTTTTTTCTTTTTGCTTATGTGGTGCTGAGGAATCGAACCCAGGGCCTCTTGCATGCAAGGCAAGCACTCTACCACTGAACCACCTTCCCAACCCCAGGGGCAGCTGCTCTTGTAGTCTTGATACTCCAAGTGCTCTATCTACTAGTAGTCTTCCATTTTTGCCTCTTCCCTATGATCTGTATTCAATTCTTCTTTAAAAAGAAAGTAAACTATTTCTTTTATAGAATTCAGTGCAGGTTGCTTTGATAAAAGCTTTGCCTATAATCTGGCTGAATAAAAACGGCAGACAATTATTGCTACTTTCCTGGTGATTGGGAAACTTTTAGGCTAGAGTGCCAGCATGAGTGAAGTTTGGTGAAAGGACGCTTCCTAATTTACAGAAGGCTTTTTACTGTATCTTTATATGGCAGCTCTGTTCTTGTTTTCTTCTAAAGACACTTGATACCATTTCGGGAGCTCTAATATTCTGATCTCATCTAAGCCATTGCCCCTCAGAACTTCGAACACTAAATATTGTCACAATGGAAATTAGAGTTTCAATGTAGGAAGTTTGAAACTCCACAAGCATGAAGTCTATAGCATCATCCAGTTATATCTAATCTTACTGTCACAAGAGTTCATCAACATTAGTAAAGATATCTCTTTGGTCCAAGATAAAAAAAATACTGCTGAACATAAATAATAAATATGCAACAGTCATGATTATTTAAATAATATTACTATGGTTCAAATTTATGTTCTTCAAACTGAGTAGGTAGTGAATCATGATATATTCTAGGAGACTGGTTTGTGTGTACATTTGGTACCTTCAATAAACCTAGGGGAATAAGTCAAAGATGTATGTGCTTTGTGTTTTATTCATGCTTATTTAATGAGTAATGTATAAGGACTGAATTAATATGAAATACTTTAATCATAATGATTTGAGGAAAAATTTCAAATGTAGTACTACTTGCTGT